AAAGGATCCTGTGACACAGATAACATTCAAAAGGGATTCACCCAACAGCATCGAAAGGGCACCCTGATTAGAAAATGGACCTCGGGGATTGCCCATGAGGACAGGTCTCCCCCTAACTTGAGGGAAGTCTTCAAAGCGTTGTGGCTCTATTGGAAAGCAGGGCACCTCCAGACTGTAGGAAAAAGCTCATCTCCAGTCTCCGGTGGGATGCGTGCGCGGGGAGGGCGCCCAGAGCCACACTTAGCGTGTTTAACTCGAACCTCTTTCATCTCTTCACGGTGGAAACTCACCAAAGGGCAATTATGGCCCCTTCCCTGCTCTCCCAACGTGGCTGTTGGAGCCGTCTGCAGACATAAAATTGTGCGTGTGCCTAAGGAAGAAACGACCATGCCCAGAGCTGATGAATTATTAGACTGGAGAAAAAGTCATAAGGGAAGAATTCTATTTGGAAATTATGTGCAGAGATTGGTAATTTAAAGGGTAACACTTCAAGAATCCCACTTCCTGACTCTGAGATTGCTCCCTCTGAAATTCTGCACTGAGCACATGAGGTGTGTCCTACGGGGAAAGTCACACAGTTAAGGTGTTTCTTTGCTTTAGGATATTTTTCTTTTATTACCTAAAAAGAGTATTTGCCAAGCTCATAAAGATTTTCTTTTAAATGTGGGGGAAATGCTGACTGCATAGAAACGGAGCCAATTCTCTGAATCCCTCATCAGTGAATGTAAGTGAAACAGGGCACCATCCCGTGAATCCATGTGAATTTTCTTTTTAGCAACCAATAGATATCTGAGCAAGCCGATTCATCTTCTTTTAGTCCAGAGCTTCAGGTCTGTCTTTAGAAACACAGGCTGTCTAGCAAAATCGGAATTACGTTTGTCCTATCCTTTATTGGTTTGTCCTATTCTTTTTTGTAACTGCTTTGAGATGTCTGGTGAAAACATAACAACTCATTTCTTGAAAAATGCTGTGAAAGGACCTTATTATTATTATTACTATTGATAACCAAGATGTAATGAATCTCTGAAAAGCAGAATTTGGTTTCATTGCAGGGTATTCTTTGAGAAAATACCTAAGTTTCTGAAATACCAATTTCAAAATGCAGGTCTTTACAGCAATCAGAACTTCCGAGCTACAGCCAAAGAAGTGACTTTGAAAATCTTTGTGCCAGAGTAATCAGAAATCTACATTGCGCCCAAGCTTGGTTGCTGTTCCTTCTTTCTGTGTACAGCAATTTTTCTTATAAGTGCTTCTCACAGCACTTAGGGCAAAGGTCAGGGGAAATAGAGGAAACATAGGCCCACCTGCAGCCAGAGCCTGGCCTCTGTGGACTACCTTATATGTGTGTCACTAGGACTCAAAATTGTCCTCTTTCTCTGAAGCACTTTCCCCATGTATGACCTCGCTTTGCCTAGGAGGGATCTCGCAGGGAGGCAGCTCTGCTGAGCATGTGGCTCTCTCCTCTGGGGGAAACCAGCCGCCCCAGAGCTCGCAGGAGACCCAGACGTTCTAGGCTACCCGTCACAGTAACCCTGTTCAAATCCTGTCCTTTCCTTTTGTATTCCTCACTGAGACAGATTTTCCCTCAACGTGCATTCTTTTAACAAATGCTTTGCATCCACCCCCTTGTCCAACTCTGGTGCGGGAACCAGAGTGGGCATCCTATTATTTCAGAGGAGTCATTTCAAGAACAAGGTGGAGAAAAACACTTGGTTTCGAGGAATCACATGCGCATCGATTTGGAAACAACAGAAAAATTCCTAAAAGTGACAGCAGCCAGACTTGGGAAGACACTGATTGGAGCTTCCAAGGTTGAGTAGGGAGGCTGAAGCACCTTTGTTAAATTTGTGACTGCTCGTGAAATGGAAGTCTGTGAAACATAGGCTCCCAAAAGCGTCTGAGAGACTCCCATCGCTCTGTCTCCACAGATGACCCCAGGCTGTGCAACGGGTCTGTAGCTGAGGTGGGTTGGAAGCTCCAGGCTGAGTCCTCTCCTCTCTGGAACTTTCTGGGTCTTATGGCTTCTGTGCACGTGGGTTTCAGTGAGCAGAGGCAGCAGCCCCCAGAGTTACAGCCTGGCAGGCTGCCACGCAGAGGCCTGAAGTTTGCTGCTTTCTGTGGTTTGCACAGCTCAGGGCCAGCAAACCTCTGTCCTTCAGCAGTCGCTAGTTCCAGGTCTGGGCCAGGTCTGATTCTACCCTGCATGTGCTCATTCACGAGCGTGGCCCTCCGTGCATGGTATATTAAGTATGAGGCGTGGTCTAAAAGTACTGAGAATATTTAAATTTAAAAATACTGCTGTAAGATACTTTGCCATTAATCTCTTTAAATATTCCACCTCACTGCCTCCTGAAGCAGTTCTGAAGTCTTCTGTGAGAGTGCTGAGTTGTGCTGTGTGGCTGCCTCCATGTCCTGAATCAACTCAAAATGTTTACTTTTATGGTCATCTTGACTTTGGGGGAGGGGCACAAGTCACATGGCGCCAGTGCCAGTGAATACAGTGGATAAGAACACGCTGGAATGCTTTTACAGAATGCTTTCACCGGGCTGCCTTTCCATCGGAAGGCAATTCACTGATGTTTGATCACATTTTGTAAAGACACTTGTGAGAGAGTGCCTCCAGAACTGCTTCGGAAGGTGGTGAGAATGATGGAGAAGTGTGTCTACATGAAGGGAATGTATCCTTTATGGTAATTGTCTCTAAAACATTTAAGCATTCCCTGTATATTTTGATCACACCTTGTATAAGACAGGAGATGATTGCTCAGGGCATCCTTAGGAAGCTCTGAGAAATACCCACTGCACCCTCTGGCTCCCACCGAACAAGCTCCTGAAATGTTTTGAACTCCTATATCACCTGATCACTGAAATTCCGCATTATTGCTTCTGTCCACTTCTAAAAGCCCTCTTTCTCGGGCGCTGCCTATGCAGCTTGAGCAAACAGCCACCAGAGAAGCTGACCCATGACCTCTTTCTGGTGTCCAAGCAATAGCTTCCTGGCCAGTTTGAGACAGATTCAGATTCCATCCAACTCTAAAGATTCTATTTCCGGTGCTTGCTGTCACTGGTTAACTGCAGATGACAGGTATTATCCTGAGCTTACTCAACTGGAAGTGTTTGTAATTCCTGACCCCAAAGTAGCTCCAACCGGTGCAGATGTTTAGGGCAAGCAGCCCCTCCTTGGTCCAGCAGTTCATCCTTCCTGACTGGAGGAGTTGGCACAGGGGTCAGAATGGAGCTTTAGTGGTTCACCTGTCCACCTTTGTTTCTAAAGTCTGCCTTTCACATATGGCATTTGTACTGCAGTGCCCTTTTCTAATTACAAGAAGAGACGATGAAAGCAGAAAAATTACAAACACAGCAACATAATAGAGAAAAGAAAATCCATAATGACAGTGACAACATCGGAAAACAGTGCCGGCTTCCACTGACAAATTGGGACTTTTTTTATTTAAAGAAAAAACAAAACAAAACAGTAAAAGGGTACAAGTAATACAGAATTTCAAAAAAAAATAAATAGTAGGAAATCACTAGTTAATAGATTACATATTGTCATCTTAGAAATAATTGATCAAGTTACAAAATTAAGCATACAAAGTGGACACTCAAACAGTGAGACTGCAAACAGTTGTGTTCAATGATCCAACAAAAACTTAGTAATATGGTTATCTATTTTAAACACCTAAACACACTTCCAATTGTGTCCTTTAGAGCACTTTCTTTTCCTCTTTTTTACAATAACATTTACACATTTTGGGTTTTATTACTCCCACAGTTTTTATTACTTGTTTTTTTTTGGAAGAGAATAAGACCAAGCATGACAAAACAAAGCAGTCAGTCAAAACAAAGGATGGACATAGTACAGGATGTAAAAACAGAATACAAGGAAATCAACAATGGTTACCATAATGCCTCTTGCTACCTTAAAAAGAATCGCCCATATCATCAGGTATAGTAAAATTGAACTAGACAGTACAGAACAAAACCAATAAAACCTAAACATTGGAGATATTACTGAACTTTAAAAGAAAATAATATTCAAACCAGAGTGAGCATCATAGTGAATCTTATTGCTTTCAAAGTAGTTGCCTGTATCCTCAAAATTGATAATATCAAACAGAACAGACTAGAGTAAAATCAGTCAAAACAAGATGGTGAGAGCCATACAGGGCTTCAAATTGAGTTAATAGGAAATCAAAAAAGTTACTAAAATATATCCTGCTATGTTTAAAAAAAATTTTCCCTTAATTAAAAATAATAATAATAAAATAAATAAATTTTTAGAAAAGGGTGAGATTGAGATAAAAGATGATATAACAATACAGGTCAGAACAGAACCATTTAAGGGACATAGTGTTTCACCACAAGATAACCTGATTTAATAGTAGTTAAATCATAGTGTCTCTTTCCTTGAAATCTTTGAGTATAACTTCGTATACTGTAGCATCAAACATATCAAGACATTTCAGACATTCAAGAGGATGAAAGTATTACAAGGGATTTAGAACCAGCTAACAGAAAACGAACAATGGTTTCTATATTATCTCTTTGCCTATAAAAAATTTTGTTTATGCTATCACATATAATAAAATCCAATAAAATACAACATGATAAAAGCAATGGAGACAGAAAAACAACAATTTGATGGGACTTCAAAACAAGATGATACTAAATCAGCATTAGCTGTTGTGATGTCTTGTTTTGTTCCTTTTATGAAAGCCGATGGGATGCAGGCACTTTTGAAGGCTCTTTCCTTGGGGGAGGTGTTGTGAATGCCGATTCCTGATGCAAACAGCCTTGCCACAGCCTCACAACAGGCAGCTCCCTAAAAATGCAGGTCTCAGGTGTCATAGAAGTGCCCCACAGAGCGCCCTCTGTGTTATGTCCAGCACCCCATTCCCCCACCCTACCATAGTTCAGCTGAGGAGTAACCTGAGAGGTGGGACGGGGCCAGCAGTTTGCATGTTCATGGTTTGATTCTCGAATTATTTGTTTGGCAGGAGCAGGGCCGTGTGTACACAGGTTGAAAACAGTGTTTCTTGGAGACAGCGCAGAACCAGGTAATAATGTTATAAATACTGTCAATTTAAAAGATGCATCCCGAGAAGTAATCTTTTTAACAGAAATGAGTCTTTGCAATTAAATTGTCATTCTCCGTGTGTACGCAGGCATATGCATTTGTGTATCCGCGCACAAAAACGTTTGTGCCTGCTTACGTTGTTTCTAACTGCAAAATGTTTTGAATAACCTAAAGGATGATTAATTGGGATAAATTTAATAATGTCTTTACTTTAAAAACCATAGAGAGGCATTCCGTGTAACAATTTCAGGTATGTATATCTGAATGTATAGGGAATGAGAAAAAACTGAAATGTTATGATAGTAATGCATCATTTCATTTTCCATGTAAAATGTATGAACTTTAATTATACATATATAACATTAATAGCTAAGATTTAACAGAAAATAAATAGGAACTAAATGAAAACATCTAAACCAAAAAGAAACTTCCATTATGAAAGATGAAACAAATTCCAAATAAGGAGAGATGCATAATATTCACGGATGATTTAAAAATTCTGTTGGTAAAAAGTAAGTTGTCTGCCAACCTGCTGATCTCTGCAGATCCCTGGTATGGCAGTTGGAGGAAGGGAGAGACAGAGAGAGAGAGAGAGAGAGAGAGAGAGAGAGAGAGAGAGAGAGAGGGAGCGATCACTGGAGAAGGAAGGAGTGGACCATTCCATTCCATTGCAGGCACCCCTCTCCCCCGGGAGCCACCTCCTCTGTCCAGGCTGCCCCTCCAGCCTCTCATGTAGCTATAAACTCCCACCGGCCATGGTCCACTGATGCATATCGCATCCTCCCTCACCCCAACCTCCTTCCAAACCCCTCCTAACAGTGCTTCGTCTTCCTGGACATCTTGACATAAAGCATAGTGAGTATATTCTAGAATTTAACAAAATAAGTTGGAAGTTCCTATAAAATCTTAAAATACCTTGTTCTTTGTTTATTGACAGCAGTGAATAGAATCCACACAGCACATTCATCAGTGTGACCCAATGAGCCGTGAGCCGAGCCTCAGAGTGTTCTAAGACAGAACCCTGGTGCCTGCATTCTTGGGCACTCAAACTGGGACAGGAAAGTCACAGCAAAACAAGTTACTAAAAAGTGCCTAGGAAGTGCAAAATTGCAAAAAGAGGTTCTGAGACAATCTAAGATAAAAATCTCAACTCGGATTCTAATAGCTGTGAGAATATTAGCTGTGGCGCTGTTCATCACAGAAACGAGATGATGGCCTGAAGTTTCATTGGAACGCAGACAGCAACAAACAGCCCGAGGACGGATTTAATAAAGATAAAAGCAGAATGCGATCAATTACAAATAACCAAGTGGAAGAACTGATAAATTAAACACTTTATTTGAGCAAACTAATAAACTAGACAATGAAGGAACAGAACAGCACAAATATGTAAATTAGTAAGTAATCAGAAATAACTCACCAAGCCTGCTGGAAATGAAAGAATTAATAAGAGACTATTTGTTTGACTCTCTAAAAGAAGTTGAAAAGTCAAGAAAAAAGGAAAATTGTGCTAAGAAATCTCACGAAAGTCAGCTGACTTAACACAAACAAAACACATTGGAGTCCTTGGTGTGGAAAATGTTTTGGGGATAATGCTACCTCCCGTCCAAACGACCAAATCCAGAATTTTTGTTTGTTTGTTTTATCTCAGGAAAGAAAAAGAAATGAGACGTGAGCATGAGAAAGATAATCTCAGTTTTCAGTATTTGCCACTGATGGGAATTCATACTTAGCCAATCAAAGATTCACTGTTAAAAGCGGTTACAGTAATAAGCTGTGTGTGTTCACCCACTTATGCTGAGGGCACTGTGTGTGTCCAGCAATGGCCTCACCGCTGAGCTGCCCTCCAGCCCTAGCATGTGGAATTAATCCAGAAAGCACGTGGAATTAATCCAGAAATCAGCAGCTTTTTATCTAAAAAGGCAACAAAGAAGCACAACAATAAAACATCCCATATGAAATCATGGAATCAATGATAAACTGATTCTTACTAAACTAAATAAAATGTACTGTCTGAATATGCAAAACAGTTAAGAACAGTTCTGAAGTACTCCAAGAATGACCCGACTGTCTGGGACTGATGTTGTGGTCTAGAGTGGGTGGCTTCCTGTTTATCCAAGCATCAGTTTCCTGTAGCTTATTGTGATTGTGGTGGACAGATTTGATTTCTTAAGGTACCAAGCATGATCTAAATTTCATACATAAAGATGAACAAGAAAAACTTGAAAAATAGTAAGAAAAGGATATTCGAATGTATATGTTGTATATTAAGTGTATTGCAAGACAACACAAAATTAAATACTGGGGTAAATGAATATACATTTGTGGGAAATATACAGTCAAATACATGCAAAATGTTGCTGTTAGGTAAACAGAATTTTAGATATTTGCAGAAATGATAATTATATACAGTAAATGTGGATTTTGAGTACAAAATAGTCATTTTAAAGAATTAAAAGTATTCATACCTTACTTCACACACTAAGAAAAACTTTAAATGAATAAAAGATGTAAATATTGAAAAAATTACCTAAATGTGCTTAAAGGAAAAGGATATTATACCTGTTAAGCTATTTTATAATACAGCAGTGGGAAAGCCCTACATAATAGTGACTAAGAATAAATAAGAATAAATAAAACCAAGAATAAATAAAAACCACTCTAACAAAATACTCATGCGTGAAAAAATAAAATCAAAATATAAATCATAAGCTGCAAAACATTTTACAAGACATAGTGCAAAACTTTCAATATCAAGTTGTGAAAAACACTAATTGAAGAGAAATATGAACAACTAAATAAAAAATGGTCAGAAATTTAAATGTTTCACTGATAGCAAAATTCTTGTGGCTTAATCTTGGTGACAATACAGGAAAAACAAAGGAAGTGTTCAAGTGAGGGCGTTTTACTGAAGTCCACAAGGACTGTAGAAAAGAAGGGCCCTTGCCAAACAGGGGAGTTCCTGAGCAAAATGCATAAGGCAAAAATGAATTACTGACCATAGACTACAGGACTATATGACTTCACTGGTACAGTGTCATACGGATTAATCAATAGATCTATAAATAACCAATAAATAAATAAATGCAAAGGGAAGGGCAAACTCTTCCCCAGCATAGAATTCTAACATTGAATTCAAATTAATGTTGAAGGAACAGTGAACATAGAAAAATCATGATTCATTGTTGTAGTTAGGGATTGTGCAGAGGACAATTAGAATCAGGACATGGAGTTTATAATATTATTTTTGTAATGCTCAGCTGGAGTTAACACAAGAAAATGCAAGAAATCTATGCACAACACCAAAGACATAGAATATTTAGTCAAGGGCCTGAATCCCACAGCAACGTCCCACCTGAGTCCAGATGAAGTTCCAGAGCTCAGGACAATGCCTTCCACGAGTCCAACTGGAGGTCCAGAGCCCACAAGAGGGACTCACGCCAGTCTCTTTTATGGATCTGTGCCAGGAAGGCCCAAAGTTCAGTGGTGGAAGCTAGAAAGCCCATGTCAACAGGGTGAAGGAGCTGTGCTGGTGGGATGAGGGTTCTACGCTGGAGCCGAGAAGTCACATTCATAACAAAGACCAGGACTGTCCTGAAAGGCACCATGGCCATCCTCAGTGACAGAGAGGCCTCGAGCTCCTCCAATGATAAGCACAGTCGGGTGGGTACATGCCAGGAAGCCAGCATGATGAGTTCATCCTGGAGACCAAGTGGCACATGTCTTTCCCTCTGGAGCCAGAAAGCAATGCTCAATGTGTGGACCAGAGCTTCTCCAGGAGAACCAACGGCTCAAACAGCAACTCTTAGGAGAACCCACAATGCCTCAATGCAACAACACCCTCTCTTCTCCTTCTACATATCTCCATTTATGCTGGCAACTTTCCTCAGTTGGGACATCTACGCTCAGCACCATGGTGATTTAATTCAGCTGGCATTAAGTTGATCATCAGTTCTTAATGTATAGCACTCATCTTTGTTGACAAATGCTAAAATTGGTGTGGCGAAGGAGTCATCAAAAGTATGAGCATAGCTCTGAAGTGCTTCTCAGAAGATGCTCAGTAATCACCAAGGGGAATTACAGCACCACAAAGAACATGCCCACTACTCCCCAAGCATGATCCAGCTAGACATGGTCAGGATAGAAGGAATCTGCAGCCTGTGCAGTGTACACCCTACTGTAAAGTGCATGCCTTCACTTCTGTGGTATTCTTAGCACAGACATAGTCACGGAGAAGCGTCGGGTGCACAAACATAGAAAGACTATGCAGAATAAATGCCCAGCCACCTCCAACAACGTGGAAGTTAAGAGGGGGTGGTGGGAAGCTACAGGACTCTTCCAGGCTTCCAAGTGAATGCCTGATCTGGAATTTAGTCTTATATCAAAGCACACTTGTAGGGTCACCAGGGAGATGCTGGGAAGTATGTAAGCTGTGGTTTTGTATTAATGTTAATTTTATGGTATCAGTAAATGTCCTGTGTTCATATAGTGTTGCTTTTGGAGAGTTTTGTAAGGAGTATGTTGGCATTCCCAGTAGTTTCTAAGCAGCTTTTGTGTTTTAAATCTTTTCTATATGAAAAGTTAAAATTCAATCATTAAAATACCATGAAGCATATTTTTCATTTATAATGTTGGCAAAGGACCAATTGTTTCATAACAGCATTAGTGTGCAAAAAGACAGAAACCTCAATGTATTAGTGAAATCTCTAAAGGGAACATTAAAATTGAATCTTATATCAGCATGGTTACTGTTCCATCAGAGATTGTAGTGTCATCTGTAAAAGGCAATGAGACGGCCTTCATTTCCATCTTCGCAGGACTGGTGGATCCAAACAATAAACAAAATAAAATAAAGTAATTCAATCAACTACTTACAGAAAGAAGAGAATGGAGAAGCATTTCATGCAGTGTCACTGAGTGTTTTGAGATAAACTGCTACATGGAAAAGCCAAGGTTCACAAAAGTGTACCAGGAAAGCAAATGTTAAGAACTGGGAGTCAGGAGGCTGAGGCAGGAGAATCATTTGCAAGTTGGAGACCAGCCTGGGCTACAAAGTGAGCCCAAGGCCAGCCTGAACTGCATAGAGAGACCCGTCTCTCAAAAACACGAACAAAAATACCCACCAAAACTATAGATTGGAATGAGAGCAGATGAATAGATGTGAGGAGGGAGGCGTTGTCTGGAGATAGGTAGCTAAGAATGAGTGTCATATTCAGAAGCCCTGAGGTCCAGCCCCAACTCTGTCACCTCTGGTCCTGGTGGTGAGTTAACTGTGAACCACGCAGAGCCTCAGTTTCCCCGTGTGTAACCACTGTGACCAACAGGGTTTTGCTAAGAGTTAATTGCCTTAGAAGCTACAGCAATGTGTGCACTTGACAAGCAGATCCGCCAATGCTCTCTAATCTCTCTCTTGGGAAGAGGAACTCTGAGTGTGACGCCAGCTTAGGAGCCGAGCTGTTGATCATACATACTTTGTATGTTTTGAATTTTAAGCTGCTTGACTGTACCTGCTATTAAAATATGGAAGAGAAATGAAAAAGAATGCATTCAAATAAAAAAATTGCAATTTATGTGGAGTTTAAAAGATTTCAAAATTTTACACTTCTTATCCAGTTGTGTCACACTGGAAATCTTGGTGCAAGTGTTTTCCTGCTGGAGAGGCTTTGACATCTCAATCGTATAGTGAATGATGTGTCGATCTTTCTCATGTTACTTGTTAGCTTTCTGTTTTTCAGACAGAAAGGGGATGGCAGGACTCAGAAGTAGCACTCTGAATGAGACAGATGCTCAGCAGCACTCTGTGGTGTTGGAGGAGAAGAAATCAGGCTGTTGACTAAGGGAGCAAGTCGCGGGGCGGCGAGGGGAGAGCTCAGCGGCAGGAGCACCTGCCTGGCCGGTGCAAGGTGCTGAGTTTGATTCCCAGTACAAAAAAAATTTGAAAGAGAGGAAGTCCCTGTAGCCTTTGAAGCCAAGAAGATGGGCTGTGCAGGGCAACTAGTTGAGGCCGCTATAAGTAACAATTACGTAAAATAATCAAAGCCAGATATGGTGGTGCATCTGTAATCCCAGCACTGAGAAAGACTGGGGCAGGAGGACTGCACATGAAGGTCCAGCCTGGGCACTTTAGCAACTTAGCAAGACCGTGTCGCAAAATAAAACATGCAAAAGAAAGAAAGAAAGAAAGAAAGAAAGAAAGATTTGCAGATACAGCTCAGTGTAAAGAAAGGGCTTGCGTTCGATCTCTAGTACTCTAAAGAAATGAATACATTTTAAGAGAATTAAGATTTAAACAACTATTTACTTTAAAAATCTTTTTTCAATGATAATTTTAAAACTTTGGTTAAATATACAGTTGTTAGGTTATTATCGTACATTTGACACCCTGTCTTTAATACTGGACGTGCTCATCCACCTGAGATCCAAATGCTCTGAGTTGGAGCCTTGCTTAAGTCCAGTTAATGTTTGCAGAATTAAAAGCTCCATATGGGGGACAGGGGCATAGCTCAGTGGCACAGTGTCTGCCTGGCAAGCGTGAGGTCCTGAGTTCAATAAATAAGTAAGCAAGATGCTTACGGTTCGTATGCAT